CCCTAAACCCTAAGCCTTAGACCCGAAAGCCTAAAGCCTTGAGCCCGACAGCCTGAACCGTAAACGGTAGGCCGAGAAAGTGGGATGGCGGAACCTCGCAGCCTAAAGCTTAAGTTTAGGGTTTAGGGTTTAGGGTCAGGGCTTGGGGGTGTAGGGTTTAGGGTTTAGGGTTTACGGTTCAGGGTTAGGGTTTCGGGTTTTAATACAGGGGCCTTCGTGCAGGTCGGGTTCTGCGAAGAGAGAGCTCAAGCAAAAGCTTGTTCAAGAGTTCCCTTTGTATGATGGCCATGCCAGGGTTCAGTTTTCTTTTGATTTGGGTTTACGGTTCAGGTTTCCTGTTTAGGGTTCACGGTGTTTGAGGGTTTACCTTCCGAGTTTGGGGCGTAGGGCTTCTACGGGTTTTGGTGCTGCCTCCACGACGACTACCGCAGTCAAGTGTTGTGCGAGTGCCTGAATTACGTATGGTTTTGCTGAAGTACGAACTGCCGCGGGAGAAGTCTTCCCACAACCTAAACCCTAAACCCTAAGCCCCAAAATCCGAAACAGCGAAGACCGAACAGTGCAGCGTGCCACAAACGATGGCCGGTTGCAGTGGTTGCACACCATCTGCAGGCAACGAAACGTTGCCATTGAAACAAAACATCGAGCCGGGTTTCGGGTTTAGGGCTTGAGGGGTTTAGGGTTTAGGGGTTTAGGGGTTTAGGCTTTAAGAGTTTAGGGTTTAGGGTTTACAGCCCAAAACCTGACTCCTAAAGGCTTTAGGTGTAGGGACGTGAGGTTCAGAGTTGTCACATGACTTGCTTGGTGAGCACTATCCAGAAGACGACGCAGCCCTAAACTCTAAACCCTGATCCCTAAACCATAAACGCAGCATCATCAAGAGGACAGCCCCCCGACTTCCGTCGCTGGACTGGATGTCCTCCAGCCCTGCAACAAAGGACACCGTGAACCCGAGGTCTAGACCTATAACTACGGTTTAGGGTGTATGGTTTACTGGGTCCTTGGTGGCTACAATTTTACATTTTTTTATAATAAAACCCAACAAGGAGTAAAAATGCTCATTTTCAATATAGCCCCAACAGAGATCTTGTTTAGGGTTTAGGGTCTATAATCCAAAGCCCAAACCTACAAAACCCTAAGGAAGCTGTTGGAGCGGACCTGCTCTTCACGACCTGCTATGTCGTTGTACCGCTGCTGCAGCGGGTTATGAGGATACATATGCTGCGCGTGGGCCACTGGATTGAAGATCACAAGACCCTTGGACAATTCTCTGGCAAACGGTTTACTGTAGAGATTCTTGTTAATATCAAGAGAACTGTGCTGTGGGCGGGCGGCCAATGCCGGAGGTTTCGACCCCTGTTCCCGACTTCTCCCTTCTTCATGTGGCTCTTGAAGCCAAAACCACGTAATTTTGTAGCGGTTGCTCGTCCTCGTCTTGGTTTAGTGGATTTAGCAGCAGTGGCAGCAGCCGCGCTCATTGTTGTGATCCTCGTCGTGCAGTAACCCCTAAACCCCATACACCCCTAAACCCTGCACCGTAACCCCCAGGCCTAGATTCCTTTCGTGCTTGGAAACCTGAATTTGCAAAGCCCAAGTTTTCGTTAGCCCGGGAGGCCAATTTCATTTTTGGGCTTCATGTGTTCTCGCAGTCTCGCATTACCAAGAGCATTTAGGGTTTAGGGTTCAGGGCTTAGCAAGACCTAAACCCTACGCCAAAGCCTTGAAACCTCAACACTAAACGATCCTAACCCTGAAGCCCAAGCCCCGGGAGGAAAGACAGCCAAAAAGACTGGGTCGGAGCACCGGGAGACCGCGCCAACAAAATTCTTGGTAACATCAAGAGCAAGTTCCAAAAGCTCTTCCGAGAGGACCGTTCTTGTTGACGCTTCCAAACCCTAAACCCTAAACCCTAGACGCTTCCAGAAGGCTTCTAGAAGGCTTCTATGGGTTCAGGGTTTAGTCGTCGGTTGTTGCTTACAACGGTTCGAGTATTCCCGGGCAGGGTGTTTCGATATTATCAGTGGGATGATTTCGGTGCCGAGGGCTATTTGGGTAGAGGGTGTGGAGAACAGACTGGCCTCATAATCCCGAACGAAGCCTAAGCCACAAATGCAAGACACCAACCTGCCCTATGGAGTTGTGTTCTGGAAGGACGGTCAAACAAAAGATGTCGGGGATGGCTGCTTGGGCAGTGGTGGCAATCTCAGCAATGATATTGGCTTCTACCGCTCGGATGGCTTTTTCGTGTGACTCAGAAGATACAAGAGGGGTTTCTCGTGCCATTCCCTAAACCCTAAACCCTAAACCCTAAACCCTAAACCCTAAACCCTAAACCCTAAACCCTAGGCTTCAAACCCCGAGCCACAAATCCGTCACCGCATTGTTGCTGTGCTCCTCTCTGCTGCTGTAGACATCGTCAGTGTGAATTATCAATGGCGCTATCGGGCACTATGCCATGCTTACTCTGAGTGGCCCTAAACCCTAAACCCCATAGATAACCTGTCAGGCCTAAACCCCGAAACTTGCATAATACCCTAAACCCTAAACCCTAAACCCTAAACCCTAAACCCTATTAGTATAGGCCTCAATCCCTGGTGCTGCTCACCACCCCCGATAGTTTTTGACAAGAGCCGAGCTAGATGTAAATAGTGGGAAAGAAACTTAGTAGAAACCCTAAACCCTAAACCCTAAACCCTATACCCTAAACCCTAAACCCTAAACCCTAAACCCTCCGGTTGTGAATGTCTGGAGAGAGCGAACCCGTTTCGTGAGAGCAGGAAGAACATGTTGAATGCATGTGCGCACCATCAGTAGATACCAGCACCCTCTGATAGACCATCCGGCAACCTAGAAACTGCACCAAGACTTGTACTACTGGGGAACCTAGGCCGGTGTTTGTGCCCCAAGCCCTACACCCAGAAACCCCGCAGGCCCATCTCATTAGCGTTTAGAGCCCCGAAGCCGTCTATCGGGTTTAGGGTTTAGGGT